CCCAAATCTCGGTAGGCCGAGCCGGGTTGGAACCCTTGACTGACTAGTTGGAAGTCAGACACTTAGACGAGCAAACGACAGCTCCACCAGTCAACATGACAATCATAGGTGTATGAGTATGCACATACCATAAGATAAGAGCGAATGATACTTAAATTGGTTAATTCGTTTAAAGGATTTCAAAACGTAACACAAAATTTACTCTAGTATATATATATATATATATTGGGCGGGGGTCATTGTGGCTGCCAAAATAGGAAAAAAATCCTATACGTTATCGTTAGCTCAGAACAGAGAATAGAAACGGTTGACTGATGATTGGTTTAAGTTTGATGAGTACTACTGACAGGATTTCGTAAGTTGTGTATTGTGTGATGTCTTCTGCAAGAATACTGAATAGCGGAGGTATGGATTAAATGGCGTATAGGAGAAATGAAAGATCCTTGTGAAACAACATAGAAAATATGAAAGGAAGACAAAAGAGTACACAGTACGGAGAACATGTGCAAATGGGGATTTTAACGTAAGGTATAGGTATTTTGTGTGCGTCGATGGCACAGTGGTAGAATTCTCGCCGACCACCCATGTGGTCCGTGGTTCGATCCTCGACCAACGCACTCTTTTACCTCACTAAGAGTGGTAAGGAGGGAAGGTTGGGCATGAGGCTAGCAACCTCATCCCGTAAAAATAAACACCACTGCTACCGAAACTTTAAGCCTCTAGCTTGAAGCCCTATGTTCCACTGGGAATGTAAAGGAATAAAAAAATTGGTATTTTGTCATATCGGCACATCAACTTGCCAATAAACAATTTCGCTACCATGTTTTGCTGTCACACAAGTAAAGAACATTGACACTGTATGTGTACAATTCCACCTTACATGTAAAATACAGTGATATATTATTATTTAGCTATATAATGTTTTTGACAACTGATCCTTATACTGATCTTTCTGTTGAAAAAGTTACAGAACAATAAACTCTGGCACTGCAGAAATAAAGATCAGAAACTCTTAGATGTAAAAACTAAAAAGGGACAAGACATAATCATTTCCAATTTTGTTGAGAATAATCCAAAATAATATAACCTATCAAATACGGTTGGTCGGTCGGTTTTCAACATAGAACTTTGCACATATGTACACCAGTTCAAGTCGCCACACTCCCTCCTTGTACCACACAAAGCAACAGAAGAAAGTAGGAGAAACGTCTAATATAGACAGTAAACAGAGGTGTGAGACAAAGGAATAGTAATAACGAAGAACAAAACAGTTTCATTGGAAATCATAAGTCACAAGGAGTGGATGCATCTGCACCAGCCATTGAGAATGATTTTGAGCCATGTCACCAATTGTTTCCAACCATTGGTTTTTACCATCCCGACGACACCAACCAGTCAGGAAGTGTACACCTTCCTACGTGACTAGCTTAGACTAACTGTTGTAGATTTCATTGACTGGTGCCGTGTTTCGGTTTGACCACCATGTGCTAGCTCTTTTCCAACCTGACCCTATATCAGCTAGCATTGCCCGTTGGTCGAGGAAGGCGATGACTAGGCATACGTAGCACATGTCTTAACCATCTCAGTCGATGTAATTTCACAGCCTCGTCGATTGATTACCCCGCCTTACCTAGCACTCGACTGAGGCCTAACCTCAATATTGCTCACCTTATCATACCACTTCAAGCGGGAGATAGAACTATCAAATACAATGTGCGTGGGTGGTTCGATGGTAGAATATGCGCCGCCAACCACCGAGGTGGTCCGGGTCCGATTCCGGGCCGACGCACCGGTAAACGTCGCCTAGCTTACTGGTCAATATTAATTCCGCAAAAGGGGGAAGGTTGGGCGTGTGGTTAGCGACCCCACCCCGTAAAGACCACCATTGCTAGTGAAACTACAAAGCATAAAGTTTGGAGACTAATGTTCCACTCAGGAGGCAGTGGAATGAAATAATATAATAATAATAATAATAAAGTAATCAAATAGAATGTAATTACTATAGAGTTATGTAAATAGGTTTCAGTAGTTAAATAACGTTATATTTAGTTTATCAGAACACAAAATTTTAGTTTCATTTTCAATTGATGAAAACTCTAAAAATCTAAGCCCATTAGAATGACAAAGCTACAGCTAAGCATACACTGATTTACAATCACAAGATACAGTGAAACACAGTTAAATTTTTGACGGTCAATTTAGTTAGGCGAGAGGTTAATCGAATTAATATTTCACACATATACAACTGAAATAAAATAATCCATATTCTAAAGATATGGATATTTTTTATTAACGCTGAAATTGGTCAGATAACACTAATATGATTATGTCGACTAAAATGTGATCAAAAACATTATCCAGTAAAACTACTACTACTGGACCACTACCATGTACTTCATTTACATAATAAGGTGGATTATGTGAAGGCTTTGACATTTTACGCCTCATCAGTAACCACCACCAGCAGCGGATATTATAGTTAATTAAGCAGTGATATGTATGTGTTCAGAAGTTCGTTCAAACGCTTTCCCTACCTTGGTCATCACTACTTGATTCTAATAGTCGAGAATTTCTACTTTCCCCGGTAACCCTTTTACAAGCTATGATTGTTTTAACTGCCTCTGACTATCGAATAAATTGTATTCTTTTTTGATTACAGCTTGATTCCACACTGTATTTTTTTGGTACAGGTATGGAATTTTCAGCATGCGATATAGGTAGCCCAAATTTTGCAGGCCGACCATAGATACCAGGTGTGCGCCGGCGGGTGATCGAACTCCGGACCATGTGTACGGTCGGCGAGAGTCCTAACCACTGTGCCACCTTAATCCTATTTGATATTAAATTTGGCATTATATTTGTACGCTTATTATCATTACACATGCTTATGAATTGTAGTTCTATCGACCTTAGCAACTCTATATTTATTATTTGAATAACATTATTGTTGTCGATAAAGCTTACTTCTTAAATATTACGTGTATTTCTAACCGTTGAGGCAGATAGGGAAGTTATTGGAAAGAGCAATCTTTGCACAGTACTTTTAGTCTTCTAAATACAAGACATCCACGCCAGTAATTTACTACTTAGACTTTAAGAAAAAGAAATTCCTAACCAGCTGCTACTTGAAAGAAACTGTCGATTACAAAACTCCAAGTCAGTAGGGATTCACAGCCTTAGAAAGTTATAGAGGAATTACTGTCTGCATCATCATCATCTACATAAATTTCTCCACTGCTAGTATTTACACTGAACACTTTCAGACAGTACAAAAAGGGAGTTTGATTCCTGTTTCCGTAATAAAAATCTTTATTGTACATAAACTGCTTATCGTGAAAACAGAAGTTTCAATAATTCTGATTACTTTCCATAGTGCTGGTAGTTACATTTTTCTTGGTTAGAAAGCTGTCTTATATTTCTTAGGCGACTAATGGTAGACATGGAAAGAATAGCCAATAGGCTAAAACACCAACAATCGGTAGATGGCAATTAAGTTCAGTTGTCATTATTATTATTATTATTATTATTATTATTATTATTATTATTATTATTATTATTATTAGGTTAACGAATACGAGAAGCGCTTCGGCTGTCAATGTCCGCGGAATATGGAACATCAAACACAGAATTCCTAGAAATTATAAGCGGAAAACTTAAGAATGTGCACTATTCTATCCATCTCACGAAAATGTGTTGAACACATATATTTTTAAACTTCCAATACAACATACACATTTTACAATCATTTTTCGGACTAGATATGATTGATATCTTTAATGACTATTATAACCATATTTTGAGTATTTGGTAGTGTTATGAACTACATACTATGAAATATAAATTCGCTTTGGAATCGGGACCAAAATGACATAGGACAGGACATGGTATTACTCGGTAATCCATACGAAGACAAGTGAATATAAAGTTTCTCACAGAAATATGAGCATCTCTCTAATTATACGTATGATTAAAGCTTTAAAATTAAGATACAGTCAGAATTTAAATTTCACAACATGTTTTAAATGTAACGGCAATATAGGAACAAAATTCGGAGTTGTGTTGGAGACAATTATGAATTCAGTGAGGTTAATACGTACACACTCGAACATCATGTATGTGTTCATACTCTAGGCTAAGGCTAAGATACACATGCCAACTGAAGACTAGTGGTACTACTAACCGGCTAGCCAAACCACAGCAGTGCATAAAGCTGAGTTGTGTGAATATACCGATGAATCACAACTCTGTGGAATTAAATTTCTCTGCTTATGACAAACATTCCAAAGCCTTTTCAAGTCACAGAGGTAGGTAGTTGAATGTCTCCTTATCCAGCAATTAATTTTGTGTACAATCAAAGTTTTTAATTCACCTATAAAGATTAATTCATCCTGACACACAACCTAATCAAAATCATGTATTTTCTTTAAATCATTAAGATGAATTCTTTAAATGTAAAAATTGAATACTACTCATAAATCATAAATGACTGGATTATCACCTTGTAGTGTACATTGAACCTTTGAACTTTTGTTTGAACGGACTCACCTGACCTTTAGCACACTTCCTCTTTCGATTCGTGAATCTCCTGTACGGTTTTGGTTCGCTCTCTCGTTGTGCTTTCATCCGGCACACTCTCCGAGCTTACCACCGTCTCAACTGCAGATAAGTGTATACCCTCTCATTCTTTATCAAATCTCATATCGCTTTTGTGTAAATATAACTCTGTTCCAGTCACGCTAGTCATCTCAAGTCTTTTTACCTTGATTCACTTCGTTAGTATTTGCACATTAGGCAGAGTACAACTAAGGTCATAAAGCGGTGAAGAAGTTTTTGTAAGAGTGGCTAATTTAGGTCTAAGTTAAGCCAAGTCTAACTCTTACAACCTCATAAAATCATCATCCTAAAAAAGAAGACTATCTCAGTACATACATTCCTGATAAAACAAGAAATAAGGTCAAATTTTTTTTTAAAAAAAAAGCATAAAATACAAGATGACTTACCAAGATTAAAGACAATAATACAAAACAGACAATCCCAATAACAACGTACAACGTGGACACTATTATTTGATACGTAGCTGTAAGAAAGTTTAATTGTTGACTTGTTGATAATAAGTCACTTGGAGTAGTATGAATTAATGTTTGAAGAGATGATGAATCGAATAAATCAGAAGCAGGTAACATATGAAATTCACCTGGTTATTATGCGTAAATACTGTATGTTATTTATATACATATATCCATTGCAGAGTATACTACTATATATTTAAAGTAGTGTAAAACACATTTTTATTTCAAATATAAGTATCATGTAAATCCGTTTTTCGAACAAAAAAGTAGTCTATTGATACTGTTTTATACATGTGCAAAAGATAGATAGATAGATAGTACATACATTTAAGGACTGAGAAATTAAAACCTTCAAAGTGAAACGGCATTGAATATACACGGCAAGACAATTCTTCCATCTTCTTTGTTGTTGTTGTTGTAACGGCGTATCTTGATTGGACAATCATCACAAGTATTATTGTATTCCAAGACATTAGTAAATGAAGAGAAGAATAAGCCTCCAAATGAATTCAGAGGCAATATGATTCTCTGTAATGATTGCTCTGTATTCTGAAATAAGAAACATTGTACAATAAATTTTATTATCCTATTATTCATACATAGCGAAAACTCAACAGATGTTGAAGCTAGTAAATGACGTAGTATTGTCCTAAGTAATTCATTAGACTAGATAGTCATAATGAGATAAGAATTATATAGGCAGCTCTATGTTAACTTATTACTTCTTTTTTCTTTTTAACGAGAACTTCCAAAGAATGAGATTTCTTCCTTACATTCTAAAATAATATGCTATGCGCATATATGTGGCCAGACATGAATCCAATCAGATGTCTGACAGGTACAAAAATTGTAATCAAGGTCATTTGGAGAAATAATAATTCAAATCCGTAGTATAGTTTATTACCCAATCGCAGACGTATACTAAAAAGAAATTGAAGATATACTAGGCTACAAAACAAAACTAGACACATTATACACTTTAATTCTACGCATAAAATAACTGAACAGTAAGTGTGTAAGTGCGGTCTACTATACATTTACAACACTTCACTATAATTAAATGCTGATGAGTTAAGAACCCAATTTAATATTCGAATGTATCTAATGCACACTGACAGAGAATTCTTAATTCGATATAAAATACGTAGGATCAATTAATTTCGGAGATGAATTTTTGAAGTTTATACAAAATTGAAGAATTAACAACCTTGGAGAACCTAAGAATGATATAGAGATACTCAAATTATATAACATTAAAATAACGACAAATACCGGTCAACAGACATTGCTTAGGCTACTACTTTGATAACCTCAAAGTTATATTTTAAGTCAATAGGGAGTGAAACATGTAAACACCATAACAAATTATTCTCGTATACTGCACCGGAAGAGGTTGTAGCTCATTGACTCAAGCATGTGACTTTAGACCAATGGGTTCGCATCCCGCTCTACTTACTTTAGCCTGGGTGATAGGGTAGCATTATCACCCTTTATACGAGGAGTATGGCCCACGGGCTGCCACATGAAAATTCTCTTCCAAGTATCTGAGTTCAAATAAACACTTACTGAACACCCGGTATCTCAAGTACTCACGATTCAATAATTTTGATAAATTAACAAGTCTGATAAAAAAACTTCAATTTCACATGATTGAGATAATTTGGATACAGGCATATCGTAACGTCGAATAGCAAGAAGTCAACATTTTTATACATTCGGAACTAATTTTTATTGCCGATTAGAAAATGACATCAAACGTGTATTTCAGGAAGAGCAATTTATAAAACTACCATAGATTTAGCGGAAGTTACATCTTGGCTTAACCTGGAATTATTTCAGATTGTTGTAAAAATACAGTATACAAGTAGATCACTGAAGAAATGCGTATAAGGAACAGATCTTTAGCTTGCACTGTTCATCAGGGAGGGGAGCCAGTTAACAGATGCCATGCATTCTCTTAACAGAAAAGTCCTTAAATCTTATTACTTAAGGATGTAAGAATGAAAAGTGAGAACCTGCGTCTACTAAATGTCGACCAGACCATTCTTAAAGGATGTCGAATGAGTCTTACAGTAAAAATGGATGACTATTGGCAAACTCCCGAAATTGAAATGCCTTACACAAGCCACGTCACCAATTACAATGTAGCGAAACTTTAAGTTTGATAAAGTCAAGCTGGGAGAAAATCGAGGCTATTAGCTTTAGGACAGCACCAACCCAAAAAGTCCCTTCGAGTATGAACTGTACAGGAAATGGTTCACTTTCTAGTTAGGATGAACGCAACAGACGAAATCAGTGGCTGAGTATTTCAGGTGGCACAAGCAAATTAATGTCTTGCCTTGATTTGACTTGTGATAGTACACAACTTTATCTCACTTATTTGATAAGCATTTGTTACTGCCTGTATTGTTTTATTTGGTTCATTCATGTTAAATTTCATCTAGGAGGTACTGATTTAAAGTACTGATTTAAAGCGTAGATTCTTGAAAAGATATGGAAAGTACGCTAATTTTCTTATTTAAAACCTTTTAAGCATTTGTTATCAGTAGTCAAAAATATAAGACTTCCACACACTGCTTGCAACACTACGGTTAATTTTAATCAGCATGCTGTCGCTGATTTCACCTTTTCGTGTTATATACTTTTTAGCATTGGTCATACTTAGATTTAATACATGATACAGCTGAATTACACCCTGAAAGATTGTTACGTGTTAGGCAGGAAGAGAAACACCATATATTTCTGATGTGGTTAACTACCAAAACACAATAAGTTTCAGATACACTGAAATATGATCAAATCATTAATAAGTAGTCAAGAAAGGACGGTGATAAAATACAATATCATTACCGACATCAAAACTATATTTATGTCAATGATTAAGCGATACTTAATGTATGCGCTCGTTAGGAAAAGGTTATGATTCACAAAGATGATGATTCTAGAAACAAACAACCACCAAAAACATTGGATTTTATACGCAGACTTCTCAAAAGAGAATCCAAATATCCTATTATCCCCGGAATTTAGCTACATCTCAAGACAGCAAGACGACATCACCTTTCGTGTCATTTCCTATTTGTCTAAATTGAGACTATAATTTTTAAAAAGTGGACGACTATTAATAATTGTTCAGTTGAGTGAAACTTCGCAACTAGTGTTTATCACAGCAAAATAATACATACTAGCCATACAGCACAGAAACAAGTGTACATTAAAAGTTTCGATTGACAAACGGGAAACAGTTTAATTAGTGTCTGATCGATAGCTGCTACCTTGGCGTGGCGTCTGCTTTTGTATGTGGGAATTGCACAACAAGCTGTGCTGACTGGGAAGAAACTTTCCTACAGGTCTTAACATGTCACAAAGGTTCAGTGGATAGTAATTTATCCTTAAAAAACTATCATCTTAGGCGTAATTTTCTTAAATTGAAGGGGTCAAGTCATGCTTCTAGCGAACATTAGTGCAAAATAATGTTTTCCTAGAGGAAACAGCAAACTACCTATGCTATTTTTCAGCTTAGAAAAGGTCTTATGAAAATTTCGCTGTTAAAACTTTAAATTCCGAATCAGCCGATGTTCTGCAGTCAGTGGCAAGGTTTCCATACGAACTGTACCACCTACAAAGACGAATGTGACCGGCCTTAAGCAATTACCCTCTGGATTGTCGAGTCATGAAAAAACAGAACATTTTATTATTTTGAAACTCGAGGAAATTGACTTCCATCATTCTCTCTAGGGTATTTGTCATAATCAAGCGAACAATGAGCATAAATAGATCACTACGCAATAAGTTAATCAGGGATCGGTGAAAGATCTCCGTCTCTTTTAAAACACCTATGAAATCCGATCACATACTAGTGCTTGCACGACCTAATAACAAAAGGCGTAGGAAATAAGCAGCTGAGATACATTTACAAAACTAGATTGAGAACAGGATATCTGTATTTTAAGAAACGAGACATCCGAGTACGACAGTAATAATCATCCGGAGGGACACCGAGATCATGTTGAGCATTCTGTGGAAACTGTAGCGGAGACTGCTAATAATCTATAACCAAATCTAGTACGCACCAACGGGTTTCCACAACTTCATTCAAACTGGTCAACGCAAGAGGACCGATTGAGGGAGATGATATTTGAAAGGTGAGGAAGAGCGAAAGCTGGTCACTAAAAGTACTCGTAGAAATCCTAAACAGGGGCGGGCGACGAAGGCGAAAGGAGTTCAAAAGTCCTCAGTAATAGGCAATACTCACTAACAAGTGAGGATAAGGGAATCCACAATAATTACATCACACCGGTTTAGATAATCGACCATATCACTTGACTCGGAAACAGGGATTAATCTTAATGAACTAAACAGAGAATGTCTTCATCGTGCGACAAGTTCAAATGCTTTTTACACTTTTGGCAATGCCACTGTGTCATGTTTTCCGTTACGCAGTAAAAATAGTAACCAAAGAAAGACTATTCCCCATCAAAAACTGTCAAGTAATAGCCTTGTGGAGAAAATTATTCAGCTCACGAGGTTTAAAACTTGTAGTGACAGCAACCATTCAGTAACAGAACTACGAATTGGTTAAAAAGCTTATATATATATATATAGTGTTTGCTTTCCCACATTACAGATGTTACAAACTTAGTAAATAGACATTATGCCTTAGTATTGGGTTGTGATGCTTAGTGTGTGAAGAACATGCGTGAGAAGTATTTAAAGCGAAGGAGTTAGAGTGATTTAAGAGCTCTTCAACCTGTTTTACAAGGTATGAATAACCAGCATTTGGACTGCTGCGAGCAAAGGGGTAAGATCCCCCCCACCAAACTATCAGGCAAATAATCAAACCAGATATACAATAGGAAAGTAGAAGTGACTTAAGGATCACTGCAAAAATCACGAGCGAATCTAGGAGTGCATAGAGGGCATTTCTAAATCTTTGAGTAATTAGGTTCTGTAGACGTTCCTTATAAACGGTATTTTCTTTCTGTTGAGTAAATTGGATGTAATATTGTACCAAATGTTTAAAACTCTAGGCTGTATGATAAACTGTTTTGGAATACAGCAAATCCTTAATTACGGCAAAGTTGAACTATCACAGCAGATATTACAGTGACATTGAACAACCAATGAGAACTCAGACGAAAAGAAGTCACATAGTCGTTGTAAAAGTATACTGAAAAATATTGCAAACTTGATATTTCACTGTGTAGTTGCAGCTTGTATGTTGCAGGAAAGTCTCCCAGTCAATACACAGATGATTTATAGAGAAATCGTGCCATATGCGATATACCCATTTATCCAGGTGACTGTAGGTCATGGTACTTCGAGATTCATTGATATTTCTGACACTACTCTTCAACCTACTCCTAACTCTAACCATAATCATAACTTCTGATTCTAAATTTAAACTTAATCCTGACCCTTGACGCTAAATCTTAATTTTAAATGCCATAACCCTACCTAACAGCATAGATTTGCAGAAAAAGTACCTCGAGAATAAGTGGAATACTGTGTCTATCCTCTTCAGGTCCAAAAAGGCAGGCATGACTTTATTTTGAGTCATGTTTTATAGCATCCCCTGTGTCTAATCGGTTTTTGAAGGTCAACTTTTGGAAGAGCTTGACTTTGGCTATCATACTTTAAATTCGCCCTTATTTTACTATTATCCTTTAGTATGAATAGCTGTTGCACAGGCCGAAATTACTTCCACTGTTATGGCAAGCATGCTGTTTGCTAAAATAAGCCGACTGCTTTCCATAACGTATAAATCATGACGATTAATTTGGAATGCTATGTATCCAAAATAATTAGAGGATCAAATATCCAATATCGTTTTTACGAGCTAGTATAAACCAATTTGATTTCTTTGTGCTCGTCTCTTGATTGTGAGGTATAGGTTTCTGATCTTCGGTAAACTTCTGCGTAGCTCGTCCCGCCACTCGACTGTCGTAGCTTTGGTTGACTCCAAAAGGAGTAGTGCTGGGATTAATTACATGAGGTTTGTAGTATGAGGTGTGTTAAGACTGTTACTACTGTGAATGGAGTTGATCCTTTCACTAGTTAGTCCTCCGGTATCGTCGTCAAAAGAAAAGGGATAATAATAATAATGATATTTAACGTTTCTGCAGTTTGTAATAAACAGGTGAATGGAAAAACAATAGCTGGTGAAATCAGTTAGAAATAGTACGAAAAATATGCTTCGGAAATATCTGTCAATCAAGAACAAATAAATAAATATTACCAATAGGGTGACCAGTGTAACACAAAGTATATTTGTACCGCCAAAGAAACGCTTTAATATTCAATATATATACAATCCAATATTGGCTGCACTTATCCGGCATGTTGGTTGAAATTTCGCTCGGCAAATTTTTTTCGTCAATAATTTTTAATAAAATTTTGTTATATGTTTTCTGGATTGACAGGAATTCTCATTTCCTGGCTAGTTATGTTGGTGTTCGCGTCATTTAATCTGACTGCGACACACTTAGCATATTGGTTGTAATGATTAGTGTTTCATACTGAATGCGTCAAAACATCTCTACAATGAAGAAGATGGGGTAGTTGGGGGGTAATGTCATCTACACAAATAGTTTATTTCTTGTAGAAACTGCAGCTTTCGACATAGTGTCATTCAATGAAGACTACGTCAAAATGTGGCTATTTTCGTGTGAAGAACAGCACTATTTTACTAAAGAATGCTATAAGTACATGGGAATCACCTATAAGTGCCAACAGAACGTAAAACCAATGTGTAAACAAACGGCTACGGAACTGCAATCCAACATAACCGTTTAACGTAGACGAAAATGACCTTTGAGCGTCTCACTCCATCAGTGACCTTGAGCATGCGGGATAATTTCAGCCTCCAATATTCAATATCTTTTTTACAAACTAGTACAAACCAAATTGATTTCTGTTCGCTCGCTTCTTGATTTTCAGGTAAAGGTTGACGGTCTTCGGTAAACTTCTGAGTAGTTCATCCCGCTATTCGACTGTCGGTGCTTCGGTTGACTATGAAAACAGTTGTGCTGGGGTTAATTACGTGTTGTTTGAAGTATACGTGTGTCATTGCTGTGTTACTACTATGAATGGATTTGGTCCTCTCACCAGTTAGTCCTCCGGTGCCGTCGAAGAACAAATAGAGATAATAATAACAGGCATAATTAGTGTAGGCTAAACGAACAAAAAAGGGAATAACGATAACGTAAAAGCAAACAGCAAATTGAATCTGAAGTTGATATACACATATATATGTGAATATATATATGCATATAATGTCAATAATAATAATGAGTGTAAGTGCATTAGTTGGAGTAGTCAGGAGAGTAAGATGGCAGACTGTAAAGAAGTAAAACGATGAACCTAGTTGTCTACCCATGAATGGTGTATGGGATTTTAAGGGGATAGGCCATTTGGATGCAGTCCTTGTGTCGCTGCGTGACCATCCAGCCTTCGTTTAAAGCTGCCCACAGACGGTGACGTAGCTACATCTGCCGGTAAGGAGTTCAGGGGACGGCAAACCCGCAGTGAAAAGAAGTGGGAGCGCACCCGAGTCCTTGCCCTCTGGTGAGCTATCCTCCTGGGATTTCCACGAGGAAGACCATACCTACTTAATGGCATAACATTTTTTTGGGTGATTCTGGTCATTTGTTATCTCATAGGCAGCAATCAAATCCCCCCTAAGCTGACGGTAGCTAAGTGTGAAGAGACCTTATTTCTCTAGCCGTTCATCATACGGTTTATTTCGGAGACCAACCACTCCTTTTGTCGCCCGTCTTTGGACTCTTTCCAAGGGATTTGCGTCTCCTCTCAGCGGTAGGGATGCAATGATATTATGCACTTCAAGGCGTGGTCTGGCTTGTGTCTTGTACAGCCTTAGAAAGGGCTCAGGACTGAGTGCACCTAACTGTCTGTGCGTAAATTGTATGACTACACATGCCCTCGCTACATCCCCCGTGTAATTCACGCTTGTTTCCAGACATGCAACGTGGTCGGTCTGACTCTTGGATACTCGCAACGTAAACCAAGCCTTCCGGTTTGCTTGCAGAATACGCTGCGTACCTCTCCTCAGCCATGAGGTCCTTTTCTTCAATTGTGTTGTGACTAAAGGGACGGTATCTGAGACTGCTGTGCGAATAATCTCTCTTAACACTTCCCAGTGTTCATCCACAGATAACTCATTACATGATAAGGGCCATTCTGTGTCAGACAAAATCCTCTGCATTTCAGCATAGTCCACCTTGTTATGGCACAGACATGGTCGCACTGCAAGTGCCCACGGAGAACAAGATCGAATCCAATGACTGCGTGGTCACTACATCCTAATGGAGTCACGATCTGGACCTTTTTGACAAGTAGTTGGTCACTAGTTAGAATGTAGTCTAGTTTAGATGACTTTCCACGAGGGCCCCACCTAGTGTCGTCTACAACATTCTTAGTTAATCCTTTATTTCTAATGGTTTTCAGTAGATTTCTACTGAATTTTCCCTGAGCATACGCCGAGCCAAGGTTCAGTGATGGGGCGTTGGAATCTCCAGCTATGGTGATATGTTCATAGTCCAAGTCCTGTATCCCTGTGATGGTGTTTAGAAGTAGCTGGCTGTGCTCTGCCCCACAGGTAGGTGATCGGTAGATGCCACCCATTAAACGTTTGGTGTGACCTGCGGTGAAATGACACCATATGGGATCTGGGAGTTCAGTAAATGGTGGGTCTGTTGCACGTACGCATTTAAGTTGCTTGTAAAAGTATTTGGCAACTCCCAACTTCCTTGTTATCCCTGTCTCTTCTGACCAGAACCATATCACTTATACTGATTTCGTTGTCGGCTATAGTGGGGGTTAGCCAGGTTTCAGTAAGGATGATTATTTTAAGGTGTAGGTGTGACTGGAGGTTTCGGAGTTCACTTCCTTTCCCTCTCAGCCCTCTTACATTGCTATACAGGCAGCTGACAGTGAGTCTCACAACCTCAGCCTGTTGCGGGGTAGTTGATGTTACGTTGTCTGCCGGTAGGGGACCTAATATTGGGACTGGTTGGTCGATTCCGATGGAACCGGCTCGTTGTCGTTTTTCCTTGGATTCGGGTAGGACACTTGGGTGACACTGACTGTCATTCTCAGTGACGCATCGCTGTAGTGTCACTGAGGCTTGGGGATGTTTGCTGCCTCCTTATAGTTCGAGGTCTGCTTTCGCAGCATCGGATGTGTCCTCCCAATTTCCCCTTGGTCTCGTACCACTGTTGAAGTACTAGGGCCAACTGTTCCTGGGAGTTTTTTGAATTTTTTTTCGACAGCAGCTTGATGCCACACCGTATTTTCAGTACAAGTATGACATTTTCAGCATGGATATCGGTAGCCCAAATTTTGCAGGCCGACCATAGATATCACGTGTGTGTCGGCAGGGGATCGAACCCCGGACCATGTGCATGGTCGGCGAGAGTCCTAACCACTGTGCCACCGACGCACTTAGCAGCCTTGAGGTGCTAATCAGTGTGAGATGAGCGGGGTGAGGCAGCCGGAAAATCGAAAATGCTCAGAAGCACCAAGGGCCGTCTGAGGTGACAGCCATCTCCATTGCTGTACATCACGCATGTGTTTTTCACAAGCAGTGCCAGTTTCCAGTTCTGGAACATCATGTATGACCATGGAGGTAGAAGGCATCAATTCCAGTGACTCCCTCGCCATTTGCCTGTTAACCCATAGCCTATCATGTCCCACTCTTATGCTGGAACTCCTGTCGATAGTTAATACTTGAGCCTGTAACGGTATTCTTTCACCTGATTTAACACCATGCCAAAGACGATGCCGCTCAGGAACACTGAATGCTGATAACTCTAATAGGACAACTGTGGATGATGTTCCATGCGTTATTACGTCTGGCGAAATACCTGATGACCGCATGCATCAGAAATTTACGCAGGCACAGACAAGTATTAGCCAAGTATTATATTACGATACTGATGCTGACACTGAAATGGTGGACATAGATGAGTCAACGGAACATAATGTTGAAATACATCGTTCTCACACTGACACAAACGTCAAGAGCCCGAAACCATCAAAACCCATCCCACTGGTGTTCCACCCATCCCCTAATAAGTCAGTTACTCCTCAGTCTGACAATCCATCCACTGTGAAGTACCAGTCGAATGTAGCTACCCAAGTTAGCAAGTTTTCTAGGCGTTATGACAAACATCCCATTTCCATTAAGAAAACTAAAGCGCATGAGGTGTCCAAGCAACAGAAACCCTACATAGCATGTGCTGGCTGCCCTGTTAGCCATCATCAACCAGTTGATCATAAGAAAAGGGAAAAAGAAGTAAATAAATTAAATACTGAACCCGGAGCAAGAAAGCCCTTTGATATGATAGAGACGAAAGCACCTCTGAGCCATCTTTCTAAGAGAAAGTCAAATATGGTAGAACTAGCTCCTAGGGGTAGGCCTAATTGGTGTCAAGTGGAAAGCCAATTATATCCAACCACTAATTCTAGACAAACAGCACAGCGAGGTGGTAGGTATTATTCTGCTCATCCACTACGTAAACCCATTTTTAGCCAGCCCCCTTCTAATGTTCTATCAACTGAAAGTTATAGAAAATCCCCCAAACATCGGCCACAGACTACATTTAGCAAGCCAACAGAACCCACTCATACATCTTATGTATCTAGCAGGCAGCATGTGCCAATTTCTGCACAAAACTTGCTATGGTCTGATGACTACCCGAAACAGATACCAACACTTCATTCTTATACTAGCAACAAATTACCGAATACTCATATCGGTTATACTTTCGGGCAGGATTTTCACCAGCGTCAGTTAGCAGAAACACCTGGCATCATGCATATAGCACGCATGATATCAGATCAGTTCCTTGCTGGCATAGCGAACAGTCTACAGCTAGGGCAAGACATATTTCCCGGGAGATAGCTGACACAGTGTCGACACCAAACGCGGATACAAATATCTCTAAAATATTAATATCTGATTATCACACAGGTGTCTCTCACTACATAAACCTATCCAAACGAAAGACCATCCCTGACTATCACCTCAAAAACCTACCTGAAGTCTTCCTATGATCCAAAGATATTAGTAAATGAGTCTAATAACATGTATATAGAGGATACTCATGGATTATTTTATCAAGATGTTGTCCGCTCACTGAAACCACGTAGCCAGTGTTTATCTATTATCCTAGTAAATACGAGAACAGTTCTAAGCAAACACTTAACACTAAGTACATTTGCTTCATCTGCATCCTAATTATGCTTCAGACTTGTAGGCTATCTGAAACCTGCTCAGCTATATGAAAACTAACCTTGGTCAAGTTAGGGTAACGGCAGAAGAGAAGCGAATCAGTAACGGGCCTCTATTAAGTACAAACGCACATATTCTTTACATTTTTTACCATGTAACAAGTCGGCTAGATCAGCGGACAATAAGTTGTCCTGATTGGTAATCGGCCCGAGGTTCAGCATAGGACGAAAAAATGTCCAATGAGATAATTTCCGGATCACAATGTAAACTAAATCCATATTTTAGAAATAAACACTTATACTTCTCAACTTCAGATTAGTATTAAAACATGACACAAAGGTAATTATGGATTCGTGCTTATCAAAAGAGGTTAAAAGTTCGTACCTATGAAGAAAACAGTAGAATACAGACAAGAAATCATAAAAAGGATTACTCTTGCGTAACAAAAAGTTAGGACTAAATGTGGACAAACGGATGAAAATTCACCGCAGATTTTGGGATTCTTCCATGCAGGCCAATATTCAACCAAAGAAGACTCAGATAATTCCTACCATCCACAGACAAGAACATTAGCCCTTGGAAAGCTCACTAATCTTAGCAACAGACTGATTGACGTTGACGTACAAACTGGACCACTGGACAAAATTGCTTGTCTGTTTTGCTCATTCTTCCGACCTCCTTTCTACTCTCTAAAGCCAAATTTCTAGAATATTTTAGTATTGCATGACAGATGTGACAGGCACACGTCCAATAATTAATGCTTCTGTAGAATTAACCACACATTTCTCTCAAAACAGAGGACTCAACAAGTTACCTTCCCAGTCAAAGCAAGCCAAGAAGCTCAGGCCATAAGCTTAACAAAATGCCTGATGCACATTACCGCTATCGAGGAAGTAGTCTGACCTTGGGGCACTTATTACTTTGAGTAACCGATGAAAGTGTTCAGAGCGACAGAGGATCATTTCAACCAAATCTTGTACAGAAGTGTCTGATGAACCTGAAGAATTAATTTTTTTCCTTCACGTTCCCCAGTGGAACATAGGGCTTCAAGCTAGTGACTTGAAGATTCTGTAGCAGTGTTTATTTTACAGGATGGGGTTGCTAGCCTCATGCCCAACCTTTCCTCTTCATCAGCATTATTTCTGGCTTAGTGAGGTAAAGGAGTGCGTCGGCCGGGAATCGAACCCCGGACCATGTGCATGGTCGGCGAGCGTCCTAACCACTATGCCACCGACGCACGAAGAATTAATGTTGGTTAATGTTAAAATCCCATAAACCTGGAGACACGTGTCTTAAGAGCCTTATATGGTCAGGACCTCTCGAATCTGCAAATGTTTGAAATAAGCACTTCAATCATCAGCAGGCAGTTCTGCTATACTGTGAATAACGCCAATCCAGTTAAGGCATTACTAAACTGAATCAGTGAAGAATTACAATACTATGCCCATTCCACATAGCAAGAATAATAATTGGGGCGTGGAGTGTATGTACAATGTACGAGAATAGGAAGGCTGCCCAGGTAGCCAAAGAGATGAGACGGTATGGGTTAGAAGTACTGGGTATCTGTGAAAGCGGATGGAATGGATGTGGACCGACACCACTGTCAACGGGAGAGTCAGTAATCTATTCCAATCACCCAGTTAAAAACCACGAACGCATCGAGGCAGTGAGTGGTTGTTATGATGTCGTCAGTGGCAGCCACAGCCCTAATGCAGTGGGGACCAATTTCATCCTGCAGGATCGTGACAGCGAGACTCGACGAAAAGCGAAGGAACGTCAGAATCATAAAATGCTACGCTAAGTGCTACAAACAACGCGGAATTAGCTGAGAAGAAGGAAGATTTTTACAGATAACTACAAACAGTAATGGACAACATCCCAAATGATGACATCAAAATCCTCATGGGCAATATGAATGTCAAACTGGTAGAAGATAATACGGGAAGAGAACTCATCATGGGGTGAGAGACTCTCTGTCGGCAAAGGTGAATTCTCCTCAGACTTCCGTGGTTTCAAGCACAAAGATATACTTAAAGCAAAATGGACTTCCCCTGACGCACACTCCACAATTCAGATCGATTTCATCTCTGCACTAATCAAGGAAGTGTAGACGTAGCTTGCTGGATACAAAGTTGAGAAGGGGGCATATGTTGGCTCAGACCATCATCTGGTTCAAGGAACCTTCAACGGGAAGCTGAAATTCTTCAAAACAACTGGAGACAGGCCACTGTAATTCAAGTTCAACATTCAGAAACTGAGTGGCAAAACTGCAAGAGATGCCCACACTACATATATGAGAGCAAAGCTGGAGACACTACGTGTTATCATAGGGAAACCTGAGTGGAAGAACACTGGAACTCTCTGAAGTTGATGTTCAAGGAAACGTGTACAACTTTTCCAGGAAGAAAGAGGAGAAAAGACAAGGAATGGCTTTCAACTGATACGTGCAAGCTAATAGAAGAGAGGAGGATGGTCTATATCCGGGAAGAGATCAAACATACGATGCAACCAATAAAAGATGCCGAAAAGAACCTGATCACCACAGAGGAGAAACAAATAAGACAATGGGCTGATCACTTTAAAGGACTCTTGAATCGACCACCACCTGCAACTCGCCCAGAAATGGCATCAACAGCACGCATGGAGCTGACAGCCAGCGGGCACCAATCCTCCAACGAAGGCGAAAATCCTGAATGCGATCAAATTACTGGAGTCCGGAAAGGTAGCTAGACAAGACGGAATTCCACCTGGAGCACTGAAAACGAACCCAGAGACTGCGGCAGGAATATTTGGAAAGAAGGAAAGATACCTACCGATTGGAAGAAAGGATACCTCGTCAAGCTGCCACAGAAAAGCGACTTAGGCTTCTGCAAGAACTGGCGTGGAATCATGCTCTTGTCCACACGAAGTAAAATATTAAGTTGCATCATAATGGAAAGAATAAAGAATGCACTGGATACAGAACTCCGCCCACCGGGACAAGCTTGATTCAGGAAAGAAAAATCATGTGCTGATCAAATTGCAACTGTACTCATCGTCATCAAACAAAGCATAGAATGGCAGTCAGTCCTGTACCTAAACTTCGTCTACTTCGAAAAGGCCTTCGACAGTGTAGACCGAGAAGTAATACGTAAACTACTTCAAGTATTTGTCAACCTCATTCAACAGTTGGCTGTATGACAATGCCACAACCGAAAACTCAGCGAGGCGTCCAGAGTGGATACAGAAGTAAGACAAGACTGCCTGTTATCACTGATGATATTCTTCATCGTGGTACACGACTGGGTTATGCGTCAGACTGTCAGTTGGGAGTAAGAAGACAGGAATACTCTGGACCACCGATAAGAAGACCCTAGAGGATCTGGATTTCGCCCCTGGATGATATATGTCTAACGTCACACAAACTCGAAAACTTACAAGCAAAAACCAACAAAGTGGCTGAAGAGACTAGCAGAGAAGACAGGACTCCTGGTGAACATAGAGAAGACGGAGGTGATGAATATAACCAACCAACCAACAGCAACAACAACCAGCACCGATCACCATCAGTGGAAGAAATTTGAAAGAGATTACTTCCTTCACTTATCTAGGAAGCATCGTTTCAACCACAAGCGACAGCATGGGTAAAGATGTCAAATCCAGGCAGAATCGGAAAGGCAAGATACGCCTTCATCAACCTGAAACTAGTTTGGAAAGCTTCTGCACCAAGTCAGTACAAAGCACGAAATTCGGACTTTCAGCACCACTGTGAAGTCAGTCATTGCTTCTGTGCGTGTCAGGAACTCGCACTGCGTTTATCGAATAGGATTTCCAATAGGCTTCTGCAGACTTTTATCAACAGCTGTCCCCTTCTCTGGCTAACTCCATAATAAAGATCAAATGGATACAAATAATTAGTAACTAGAAACTCTGGCTGAAAACAAACAAACCAAGAGCCTATCGCTCAACAAATATAAAGGAGAAAATGCAGATGGATCGGATATACATTGATGAGGTCGTCGAATGACACCACACACAGTACAGGCCATTGTTTGAGTGGAATCCCAATGAAAAGCGACGAGTGGGTCAGCAGTGCGAGGGAGACATGGAGGAGATCATGTAGCCAGGAGGACGAAGAGATGGGAGAGTGTGGGCAATCATGAACCCGGCTGAAGAAGATGTGTTGTTGAAGCCCTATGTTCCACTTGGAGCCCAAGGGAATAATAATAGATAACTACAACATAACCAAGGACGGTTTCCGGTTTTTGTATGTAGTCGGCCTTCGTAGAAGCCCCACAAGTGTCCTCTTTCGACCTATTTCAACACTCAACGGGCTCGCAGAAACTCCCTGAGGATTGAAACAGGGCCGTCCTCTATGCTGATTTCACGTGTATACATCACCAAAATGCTATGAATTATATACCTTTGTCATTGCTACCTGGGAGTGTGATAAGTATGGGAAAATCCGGCTGGCTACCACATCAAAAACTACCTTGATAAGAATAACACAACACAGATTCGGAAGAGTCAGACTAAGTTCAACTAGCCTCCTGACATTATGATATGACTGGACATTTGACGGAATAGAATTATGTATGATACTGGAATATGAGGTCTACCCGAATAAATTTAGATCATCAGAGCTAGTTACCTTGCTGGGATTGAAACGAGGAGAACAAAATGAAGAAATGCTCACAGAATAGGCACTTACCTTTGCTAGAAATGTGTAGAAAATGTTTGAAGGTCGTTGTTCAAATGTTCCAGTTAGTTTTTCTTAGTGGCGCTTAATTGGCACTGAAAGCGTGACATGGCGAAGAGCAAGAACCATACCAGTCATAACCAAAGTAAGACAATTCTTCGTTATCTCACCACCTTCAATAGATAGGAAACAACATCGTAATGGGATACACAGACCGAAAAAACAAAGGTATCCTTCTCTCAAAGGAGTAAGTGACAAATTTAACGACGAATTTCCTGTTATAGGTAGACCCAAAGTTTCTCAGGAATATGAGATTCGCTAAGAAACACAACAAACGTGGGAACAAAAAGATCCAACCCCAAGTCACAGCACCACCTGCCGTAGTATGTAAATGATTGGTTACAGCCTTTGAGTACATAATATATAATTGACAAATTTTGGCGTAATTTTACTTCTATGTACCGTTGGATCTGGTTATAAACTTTTGTTATTGCCTTACGTATTCGGCCTACATGTGAAGCGACATACAAGGAAGCGCTACTGTAAGTTTTTGTAGTAGTCAGAGGTAATCAGAGTAGGTAGGTTTGTAGGTAGCTTGAACTGTGATATACTAAAGGCAGCTTCTTCAAATTATGACTTCCTAATGACGTCGCTGCTGGCACCTTTCGACAACAGGATATTAGGTCTTGAAGCACCTCGAGGATTGTTATAAGTTGAAATGGATATCTGATGACTAAGTGATGCAATAATCAATGAGGTGGATTCTTATGAAGAGTTATTTTGTACAGAAGTTCGTCAAGAACCTGTACATTTACTCAACTCACAGTTCATTCCTGTTCACCTCATACTCCGATCTCCATTGTAGGCAAGATTTGCACTCCAATCCATTAAGCCAAGTCGCTTGTACGCTAAAAGAGAGGTAACTTCTCTAATATCGATTTGTATTAGCGTTGCTGCCCGTAAGTCGCATTAACCCGGTAATCACCTG